CCCCACTGCATTTCAGCAAATGGGCTAGGCTGAGATTATGGTTTAGCATTTAAAACCTGTCATGGTGGGCAGAAAAATGATGACGAACACCGGCTCAAAGGAAAATACTACTCTTTGCCTCTTAAAGGTCTGCATTCATACTATGCAATGCTTATCAGCTATTACTAAATTATGATTATGATTATGTGACGACCTTTTCCTGTTTCATACAGATTTAAAAGTACATGTTAATAAGAGTAATTTTGAGAAAGCTTGGCAAGTGGTACCAATAGCCACAAGGAATCTCAAACAAATGGAAATAATTATCTGCCACATATTCGCACTTGTCGATCATAGCCATAGGTTTGTGAACAGTATGGGGGCTCTTCAACTTGTAACAAGATGTATACCTTTATAATACAAATGTGTATTATTAATGCATCAATAAATGCATAGATAAGACAAAAGAGTAGCAAATTTAAAGGGTGTCACTGGTCAACTTTTTTCAAACAGGTACGATATCATGATGGAATGCTGGAAGACTGACCCTTCACAGAGGCCAGACTTCGAAGGTTTACGGTCACTAATGTACAACATGATCAAGGACGAAGAACAGGTTTGAACTGTAATGTTTCTTAGAAGAGCTTAGGCCAGTCAATGTGAGAGAGATCTCTTTCAGTCTTTATGTTCAGAATAGTTCATTTTCAGTACTGTCAAAGCCATCAAGATTATCATTTGACAGCATTAGGGCTTACTATCTAATTAAGGTTTTGATAAACGTGACTGTATTTGTTTTAAATTGTTTCTTTCTATTTTCTTACATTTAGGAATATGTCAACTTGGAGGGGCTGTTTTATGAAAATGTGCTACCAACCAGTCTTTCTGGGGAGTGATCAGCATAAAAATTGAGCTAAATCTAACGAAAGTAATACAGACATAGTTATTGGGCGTATGTTACTACTTTAACCGTTGGGATAAGTTTAAACGATTTACCGGAAATAGTCTTCACCACTTCTCACTGAATTTCAGATGTAGTTCTAAGAAGTATACCAGAGGCTGCAGACGGTAATTTTATACCCAAAAATATATATGTCCATTCTGAAAAGGAAACGGCGTGAACAAAAATGATCATGTTCTTAAAATCAATAAAGACTAAGTTGTAAACTGCTAGCTCTAAAAATAAACTTGGCACACAACTCTTAAGACGTCTTCATTTCCTGTTTGAATGTTTGGGGGAATCCTTGTCCTGGCATCCATGCCAACAAGTCGCGATTAAAGTTAACTGAAGGTTCAGCCTGGTACCATGTGAGCGCTCACACGCGATTAGGAGAAATCTGTACAACTGCACAGATAGAATTATTTGTCCCAATTCAACCATTTACCTAACTCATTTAAGCAGAAGGTCCCTAGCAAGCAAACTCGAAAGGAAATTTGTCCTTTTTCTCCTCTTGGTGAAGATGGTGACAGTCCTCCTTATTTTAACCGCTTTACTTTAGACGAACTGTGGGTATATCTGCAGCGTTAAAAGTTATAATGTGATTGTGCTTTATAGCACAAGCTTCTATCGTATGGCGTGTAATGTGTACAAACTCGTCAATTGGGGAATCAACTATTCCAGTGATTCCAGTGACTATAATCGTATTTTGTTGTGGCATTTTGCTTTTATTCCTTGGTGTTGTTTATGGTTAGTCCGCGGCCGAGATTCTAAAGCTGGAGAAGATCTCAAATTCTCTCTTTTTAAGCTGTGCTCCCGAATAGCAAGACTTCATCCAAGTAGACTTAGTTTATTTGATCTTTTCGACTTGGTATAAAACAAATGATTTCGAACTGATCATTCGGCTGAACAAAAAGTTTATTCAACTTTCTTGAACAAATTGAACATTTGCCAGATTTTTTTCTCTTGTTGAGAAGAGTGGAATCGGTTTAATCGAATGTTATCTTTATGCATTAGAGTAAAGAACTTAGCTCAATCTGGTGGAACTGCCTGAAGAAATACATTCCAGAATTTTCAGGCATCGAAGAGGGGTATATAAATGAAATTAATCAAACGTAGAACATTTGCATTGGGTGGGAATAGAAACATCCATCAACTCTTGTGCTCTCTCGAGATCACCACTAGTTTAAGGCCAAGTTGAAGTTTTGTNTAGATAGCGCTATTTATGCAATAGCGAAAATCAGACCTGAAAAAAATCAGGCCTGCACGGGACTCGAACCACTGACCTCTGACCTCTGCGATACAGATCATTGTAAACAACTGCAGTTTAAAACAAACTTGCATTCGAAAAACTTTACTTCATGGAAAAAAATTACGCTATCTGCTTCTAGTAGTGCGGTTCTAGGAGTAGGCGAGTATGCAGACATGACTTTCCTAAAGGATTCCATAACATAAAGCATGGTGTGTTACAGCCCGTTATACCTGCACGGGTAGACTAAGTAAGAAACCGGACAGACTTGACTTGTAGGGGTACCCTGCGATAGTATTTGTAGGGTCACGTGACTCTCGTTTTGATATAGTTTCTTTGCAAGAGTTGTAGAACGATGCATGTCGAAAGCCGTGAAAATGAAATGCTGTGTAAAGCTGTAAAGCCGTGAATAAATACGTTGTGTTATCAGAACATGGTGAAAGGTATGGAGTATGTAAATACATTTTACCTAATGTTGTGCTCAATCCTACATGTACTGTCTGTCTATGGTCAGAGACGCAGAGAGTTACATGATACAGCCATGATTATTATGAATTTGTCAAGCTGACAATCGGCACACTTGTATATACAATACAGGAACATCCTATGATTCTTTACACTATTAGCATCGCCTTTGTATAACTTTGTTATCAATTTGAATGTCATATTACAGGAAATATATTCAATTTGTCTTAGATTTTGTGTAAAAAGATATAAAAGAAAAAATTGGTTATTGATTCACTGTAAAATATTCAAAATTTAACAATCTACTGCTGTTCACGTAGTTCGCGGTTCGCTAAACCATTCGAGATAGAATAAGGGCTCGTTTCCGAAAAAACAACATCTTGAAGGCGTGCTTATTCCTTTTTTACTAACCACAATACATTGCGAACATAATCGTGACGCGACGTCACGACATGTGTAACGACATCCGTGTCAATTCACCTTTTCAATAATATTTTTTCTCTACAGAATATCATACTCTGTTTATGAGCTTAAGAGGCTTAGAAGTCTTAATAAGAGCACCAGAAGCAGAGTAATCATCATGTATGACAATGCTTGTCTATTAGCACACCATTTGAAGGTAAGTAAATTTTTTGAACATGGATGTGCAGGAGGCTAAATGGTAATCTAAAGTGGTATTTAATTATGTAGAATTGTCCAAACTATTTTCTATTAAATTTGGGATGAAATGAAGTAATTTATTGGAACAGACTGGAATTAAGTGAATTGTGGAAATGAAATGAAGATGAAATCATCCGAGTTATTTACTGAATTTTGAGCAACTGCCTTAATCAAATAAATTGTCATTTTTGCAGGTCACGTAATTCCATTGTCTATTTCATCACTTCCTTTCATGGGTACTGGCTTGCTCCCAACATATGGGGGTTCATAGCTCAGTGGGTAGAGCATTAATGCTCCTGCAATGAAAATGTCATGGGCTCAAATCCCAATGGGGCCAGATTCTTTTCTTCTTTGTGTTTGGTTAAATTCCCATTATTTCTTACATTTAAGTTGCATGAATATCTGTGAGGATCACATCTTAACTGCAGAATAGTTTATTACTGCTGACACAATTTTCATTTACATGATTATATTTGTTAGTGTTTATCTCAGGAAAGCTTCTTGGAAGGCCAGTGTTGATGTCGTCATACCCATATTCCATTGCTATGGGCACAAGGCATCATGCCAGGTTAGTATATATAAGTTTAACGCTAAATGGCCTTGTAGGTCAGTAGTGTGGGATCAGAAATCTGAAAGCAGTTTCCAAAATCGAAAGCAAACGATGTGCAAGGGTCAGCTAAGCAAGCAAGGTAAAATATTTAAGCACATGTACATGTTCCTTATAAAAGAGTAGCCACCCTACATAAGCCTATAAGCTTTGATAATGACCACTGGCCAGTGAGCCTTTACTCAAGGTTAGTTTTACCTAAATTGAAAATTGAATTTTTAAGTATATAGCCTGCAGTGCAGTTGGGTTTGGTGGTTGCCATCTTTTGAGTGTTTGTTTTACTGGAAAGTTGGGGCGAGAATGCAATGCGGGAGGAGGTCTCATGCCAACTGGCTCGGTAAAAATTTTTTTTGCTCCAACTCTCCACTGTTTTCTTAATTCAATATGGTGCTTTCAACACTTGATTCGGAAGTATTCATTCACACTGGTAAAATCTGCCTGCACTGCAGGCTAGTACACGTATTGGCTAACTATCTGATGCAAGGTCCATGCCATATTAATGCTTAGGTTTTATCTTCAATATGATTGTCGGTAGATCCAGTACAGTGCAAGAAGGATCAAGGGAACTGGATTGACAGATGATGAAGGAATGGAAAGGTTATGGTCCTTTCTGCGTAGGTTTTCCTCTGTCACCAAAAAAGTGAGTGCTCACAAGAGGATGGATGTTTTGACTGATGGGCTTCTTCACTATGCCCAACATTTGTATCACAAATTTGGTATGGTTAACTTTATTGAACACATAACTTTCACAGTTCTGTGGGTTTTGCTGAAAAATAAAAGATATGTCAACTATTGACCAGAACTTTAGCTGGACAGCTTTATCTACCCTGTGTTTTCTGTCGTAGTTGCAGTTCTTCATTTTTTAATTTGGATATATCAACAAAGTTGAAATGGTAAATTGGCCACCGTAACGATTACAAAAGCTGACCTTTCGAGCGTTAGCCCTTCGTCGGAGCTTTTGTAATCGTTACAGTGGCCAATTTACCATTTTAACTTCATTTTTTCAACAAGGACGTGTGTTAAGATGTAAGTCGAGGTTAAAGCTTATTAGCACACATTAAACTGATTCCTTTTAATCTTGCAAGGGCAGAAAATCTTCTACAGGATGTCAGTGCAAAGCTTGAAGCTTGAAGAACTCACTGAAAAACTTCCAGGTATCCATTTTAAACCTTTTTTTTTTTTTACCCATTGCATTGATAAACAGCGCAATGACTTACATGCATACTATATGATTATTACTATACATGTTCTTACCAGTACTAGGTTGTGATGATGATGCGATACAAGAGTGGAAAAAGGAAGAAGTTGAAGTGCTGAAACCAAAAGAACACGTTAGTTTTATTCCTCAGCATTTATTAACAATCAGTAGGGAAAACAGGTTTTTTTGTATTCACTAACACATTATTAATCTGTCACAGGATTAATACTGCCGAGTGGGACGAATCATATGTCAGCTTGCTCCTCATGTCTAAAAGACTCAGGTATATTGTGTGTGGACGTAGCACCTACCAAATTCATGATTTGCATTAGCAAGTACCTGAGCTTTTCAAAGTGATTAATCTTGTAAAAGGCGAAATTCCTACCTACCTATTTGAGAAGGGGTATGAGGGCTAAATTTTACCAGTTCCCAAGTCTTACACAATTACATTTTTCTGTCTAACCCATAAAACTGCCACTGCACTGCGTTTTTAGTTATTGTGAACTTTTTAATTTTCAGATGGTCAAGCAATTGCCATAGAGCTCGCAAAGCAGATCAACAAAGTCGTGAAGTCCATCCTCAAAACTTTGTCCGAAGTAAATGGGTATCTTCCCAATGATGTATCCCAAATTATTTGTGACGATACTAAGGATCCTTGGAGCAGCATTCACTCTGAATTCCAAGAGGAAGGGGACACCGTTCCTGCTCTTGTTAGGAGGCAGATAATTGACCTTTTCTGCTTACACAACAGGTGTCAGGAAGAGCTTGAGCTGTTGAAGGAGGAAATGAATCGCCTTGTCTCTTTTCTCCCAAACGAAATCAGACTTCTAGACGAATCAGTGGATGCGCTTCTGCCCCACACTGATAGCCCTCTTAATGCAGGAATGATAGTTTGTCTTAAAAAGAAACGGATGATTCATTGTAATCACATTAATTTCCTCGCTACTGCTTTTATGGGGTGGTATCTTGGATTCCCCTAAACCTATATATCATGCTGAGGTGGCAAAAACCTATGCTAATTTGAGTGGTATCGACTATCTTCCAGATGACGAGAAATCAGACGAGTCGATGATGGAGGAAGTTGTGGACG